TTGAAAAAAAATAAAAAAAATAAAATACTCTGTGGCATATTGAATGGCTTACCTGAAAAGGGACATCAGCCATGGTTTTAGCTAGATAGTAAGCCTTCAGACTGTACCAGTAGTTCAGATGCTCCCTGAGAAATACTCCCATCTCCAAAGGAACTGCATGGAATAAACACTGATTACTTAAGCTGTTAAGATTGCAACATTTCTGTACATAATGATATCCTCCCTGTATACAACTCTGCAGCCCCACTGTGTTTCTAGAACTCTAAAACAGTTGCTGGATCACCAATACACTGAATCACCTCTGCTGAGGCACAAGCCTTGAGAGCAGCTCACAGTCTACATATGCGTATGCTCCTCAGATCATATGACTCGCCCTTGTGCAGACTCTCTTAAAGAAAAACTAAGTTAAAAGTTTAAAGCCAGAGGTATTCCACCTCACCACCGAAGGAGTTTAAAATGACTGAGTTAGAGAGTAGCTATGGGACTTCCCAAGTTCTATAGAATGGGATCAAGCAAGATCTGAATGTCTCTCTCATGTTTTTTTGAGCACAGGATTACTATTAGTCAGATGCTCAAGAGCTCAGAGTTATCATTCTACTCTCCATCAATACGGACAGGACATAATTCAACATCATTAGCATCTTCTACATATGGTAAACTGCAGCCCAGAACTAGAACAGCTCTGGTGTTACAAGTCACCACTGAGAAGCACTGGCAGAGCTGTTCTGAGGAAGATATGACTGGATGAATGTCACTATGTTTGTGTTCATCCAGAGCAATTAGTCTTACAGTTGAATGAATACAAAATTTAGCCCCTCACTTCAATTAAAAATTAAGACAAATTCAAACAGTTTTACACGAACTGGCAAATCCCAACATGTCAAAATAACTTCCTTACAGATAATTTAACACGGGCAATACTCACACGTAAGGACAGTTGGCATGAGAGCAGCAAACATAAGGAATAACATGGAAAAAAAGAGGAAGCCAGAGTTGCTCAGGACTTTCTTGGCTTCATTTCCAATCCCTAAATAGAGTAAGCCTATGAGAATTCCAATTCCAATATGTGATGTGATCCGTAAGTGTGTCAGGACCTAGAAAACAAGGGAAAGCAGTTGATGTGATCAGAATGCTTGGGTTTCATATATATATCATTCTGAATGTGAAGTCAGCTACTCAGTCTGAAAAAATCTTAAATACACTCTGGAAGGAAATAGCAATTTCCTACCAGCATGATGGGCTTCAGATACACCAGGATAATGGGTTTACTAATTTAATCCTGTCAATCAGGCACAAGGATGAATGAGACACAGAGCATTATGCCCTCAAGGGCTTTGAAGGAGTCAAGGTAATTCAGGCCGAGACAAATGTTACACAGTTACTCTGATATTGATTAGCTCTTGGTACTCTCTCTGCAATTCCGTGTTTCTACAAGATATGGCACACAGCACTGAGGCAAGAAGAAAACCTGGAATAACCTAAACTTTTGTGGTTAAACAAGAAGAAAGGTCTGTTAGTAAAAGCCACCAAATGCCCTGCATGAACACTTGGAAGTCATATATGTATGAGGAGATTATTCTATAATAAATAGGATGTCATTTAAAGACCTATGTGTGGTAGTCTCTGGGTATTACCAGCAACATGTTAGAGGAAGACCAAACTCAATGACTGAATTTCCCTTAAAATTATGATCACTCTCTATAAATACAAGAGAGGCTAAACACCAGGAAGGAGAAGCATTACTGTAACTAAAGGATGGTGGGGGCAAAGGGATGAATGGATAAGCTGGTCCAGATATATAAAAAGGTTTTTAATTAACCAGTGAGGTTCTAAAAGAGTCAAAAAAGAAAAGAAAAGAAAAGAAAAGAAAAGAAAGAATAAAGCTTACTATTCTTAATAAAATTTAGTAATTTTTTTAAGGGATTAAATCAGGAGTGGGTAAAATGCAGCCTGTGGGCTGGATGCGGCCCACCAGGCCATTCTATCTGGCCCACAGGGCCCCTAAAAAAATTAGAAAATTAATATTCATCTGCCCCTGGCTGCCCGTCATGCAGCCCTCGATGGCTCGCCAAAACTCAGTGAGTGGCCCTCTGCCCGAAATAATTGCCCGCCCCTGGATTAAACGATGTAGTTGCCTGCAATACCTGAGGATTGGGCTCAATGATCCAAGAAGTCCCTTCCAAATTTATGTTATCATTACATGCTGTGTCCTTCCCCAATTCCATGAAGAGACACATCAAAATTACATGAGTTTCATTTTTTCATACAAATAATCAAATGACTTTCGAAGTATTAAAAAGGACAGTGAGGCTACAATCTGCTCCAAATAAGCCTCCTAAAATTAGCATTGTTGCTTCTCTGAAACTGAGAGCAGAACTGAGCCATGCTCATATACCACAAGCAACTGCAAATTGCAAGAGAAGCAAAGGTGAAGCCCAGGTGAGAGAGAGAGAGAGAGAGACTGCCACTGACAGAAATCTGAAATGGGGAAGTGGTCCTGGATCACACATGCACAGCCTTCAACTTTTCCAAGAGTAATCAACATCTCCAAAACAGCTGCTCAAGAGTAACAGAAGAAATTGTCTCGGTTATTGAGAATTCTTCCAAAGATTCCCACTTCTGTGCAAGTCACATGTACCCAAATATGTACATGAAGCAAACTGAGGCCTTACATCAAAAATTGGCTAGTTATGTAGAGCTCAGTAACGCTTTTTGGTCAAAACAGTTTTTTGCCAAAGCATGAAGATTTGGGTTGAACAAAGCATTTAAGAAATTTAGGTAATGAATTGCTTGAATTGGTTTGGCCAACCAAAAAAAAAGTAAAAAAAAAATGTAGAAGTCAAATTGTTTTGATTTAGTTTCAAATCAATGTTTTACTAATGCATGTATTTAAATTTATTTTTAAAAAGTGAAAAAGCTAGAAACAAATTTAAATATTTTTATTTACTTTATTGTTTCTTCGGACAACACAAGTACAAAATATTACAGTTCAGGTCAATCTAAATTTTTGCCTTGTTTTTCTGATTTGGGCAGCAAACCAAAAGTTCCATTATATGCACATCTTGACAGTTATGTCTACAAGTGGAAAATCTATCCCACTATTCTCTTTGTGACATGGCAAATAATATAAGCCCAAGTGTTCAGATGCTACATTTCACAGAAGCATTTAGGGTGTGAACAAACATCTCTGAAGCACTTCAAAGGTTGAGCAGACAGATGTACACAACTCTAGAAGTGCTCCAAAAATGGTGCAACAGTTGCAAAAACCCTGTATAAAGCAACTACTATGCAGATGTGCCTTCAAAATGAAGTGCTTCCCACTATATATGAATGCATTACTGAGCATGACAGGAAGGTTGAGTCATCCAGCAACCCCAAGTGCTCTGTGATTAACTTCCCCTCCACCATGGGACAGGAGGGTGGGGAGAGTTAGACACTATGTTAATAGGTACTTTCCTACTCATTCTTCCTCTGCTCACCCAGAGCATCCACCCTACTGGAACTGGAGAATGGAGCCCCTGTGAGAGCCTACCTGAAACAGGAGATCCCAGAACTAGGAGATGGGATACAATGCTTCCCCACTGGAACTGAGATTTCTGCCGTCCATACCCCAATCCCCACATACCTCTCTTTTTCTGGTCTCCTGGTTCTATCAGGGTGTTGCTCTAAGACTGCAGAGGCAGAGTGAACAGCAATGTGTTTGGCCTCATTCCTGGGAGACCAAAGGATGCAGAGACACAGGTAGCAATGCTTTGAAGCGTTCCAGCTGAGAGGTGCAGGAGGGGTCCACGCACCTGTCTGTGGCTGAAATGCTGTTTTGAAGCACACTGCTGCACTTTTAAGCACTTCAAGTGTTACAGCTGTTTGTTCGCTTACATTAATGCAACTTTGCACACATTTTGCACTACAATAAGTGATTCCACAATATATAGGTCAGCAGAGATTCAAGCCTTAAGGGTGCTGGGTATGATTTTTCAGACAATTCTCTCTGAGTGCCAGCAAAAAGAAATTATTCCTAATTATAGCTCTATAATTACAGTAAGAATAAAAATATCCATGTTCTGTGGCAATAGGCACCATGCTTCCTCTAAATGCTTTCAAACATGTTCTGTCACATCACAGAGATGAAAAGTGCCCTTGGCTACAGAAGCATGTTAGTAGGAGCCTTACCGAATCCCTCATGATACTGAGGAAAGTTCTTTTAAACAAGATGCAGAACTGGGTGAGGCAGCTGGCTGAGAAGCTGTGACAGCCTTCTGTGGATGAAGAATCCTGAGGGAACACACAAAGGAACAAACTAGCTGTTAGGGTAGCTTGTCACCTTTAGCTTTAGTTGCACCTGCTTGAGTGCTGAATTATATTATTAGTTAAACTTTTCTTTTATATTCAGCCTTATTTAACTATTGCTTAAGTTTTTGTAAAACCTCATTATTATTTAAACTTTTCTTTTTTCATTTTGCCTGTGTCTACATTATCAGCTAGCCTTGAGTTCACTTTCACAGGCAGCTTATGTTCCAACATTACCATGCGAAATGTAGGCCTTGTTATTAGCTCTAATTAACATAACTTGGCAGAAACCGACTAAATCAGAGGGATGACATGATTGGATATGTTAATAAAAGGTGATAAGAGGGGACCAATTGGGCAGTGCCCAATTGTAGAGCTTTTGGAATTTCTGGTTTTGATGGACAGACCAAATTAGGAGTCTGGGGCATGCCCTAATTAAGACACCAGTAATAGACCAAATTAAGAAGCGTGCATATGATGAGTTTGTTGGAACAAAGTAATATGCTGACAGGATAAAAATATGAACAGTATGGTGATTATAGGGAAATCAATCAACAGTACCTGGAAATAAAGAGTCATCAAAGGAAAAAGCATAAAAAGGGGGCAAGAAAGAAGTCTAGTGTATGTCATTGTCGTACAACATTTGGACTGAAAAACAGCCATTACCCATAGACAACCACCCTCTACTTTCAGGAACTGATAACATCTGGGATTGGGTGAGACCGTTGAACTAAGTGTTTTTCTTTCTCTCTCTCTATAGAAACAATTATACATGTAATGTATTAATAAAGTAAGATTTTAGTTAGGCTGAATTGTGTGAGGCATATTCTACATTAAACTCTGGGTTGATTATGCTTTGGAGATCCTTTAGTGCCATAGGTGCATAACATCAACTTCTCACAAAAAACTTATTTATTGTTCATCAGCAAGAGCCAACCCCACACAGAAGATGAAGAGACCTTCCCCTGTTTACTTAACATTTAGGTTCTTCCTTTCTATCCCAAATTTCCCTGCTCAGTTTTTAGGCAAGGTTTACCTCTTCAGATGGTCGGTGCCATAAGAAGGGGTTTAATTCGTTTTCACCACCAACGTCTCTCTTGTAGTCAGTGTCACACATCCTCTCCCCCACTGCTCTTACAAGCCGACTGTTCTGGTCACCATATTCACCAGATGCAACCTCCATCACTACATAAACATTTGGAAGAGATATTAATCTTAGATTAAAAACAGTAATGATAGGCCTGGCTATTGGGGCCCGAGCCCCACAAAACTGAAATCAATAGGAGTGTTGCCAGAACCAGGCCCTAAGTGCACAACATTTTTACGTAAAGTCTTATATATTCCTCCTGCTATTGTCAAATATAATGTTTTAGAGAAAACATGGAGAATATATGTCTGCCTTGATATTCATAAGGGACACACTTATGTTTCTTGCGGTCCCTGTTGTCTTGAAGCACTTATTGTCACTATAAAATACTGACGTATTGTTTTCACAAGGGCCAGGAGCACAGACACAGAGTCTCATTAAAAACCAATGTCAATAGCTGTGACACTATTTGTTCTCTCTTTCATCTCTTCTGATTTGACCATTTTAATTTTAATTGGAAAAAGTCACTAATCAGTTCTACCACTAGATGGCATTCAAATTACTTAGAGAAAATAGGACTCTCAACCTACAATGTAAAACAACAAAAATATAAAAACAAGCAGCACTAAAACCCATTGTTATTTCTATTTCTAAAGCAAAATAAGCAAACTGAAAAGTTGTTCCTTACCAAAATCTGCTGGATTGTGGTAGGTTGGACAATTTAAACCCAAATCTCTCAAGTAAGGGACTAGATTTAACACTTTCCCACGGTAAATGCATTGACCTTGACTCAAGACATACAGCTGAAAAACAAACAACAAGAATGAGAATGTGAAAAAACAGTAAAGCATTTGAACCTGAGTTCAGTGTGAAATCCAATGACCTGCTGTTTGAACTAGGGAAAAGTACCAAGAGATGACTGAATAGATTTGTCATCCTTGAATGTGAACCTCCTAACTAATGGGAAATGTCTGAAAAATTAGAGGTATTTGAAATCCAAAATGCTGTAAAACTACCTCTTCATGGCTTGCTGTGTACTTATACAGAAATATATGAATTCACCCATTGCACAGCAGGTCGGAAACTATACAACCATAAGTGATGCATGTTATTGGTATGAAGTTGTGGCTAGTGAATGCAGGGAGAGAATTTGGGAGAACAAGAAGGGAGGAGCCATAGAGCAGTAGGAAGAAGATTGACTGTTCTTGGCTTTTTACTCTCTTTTGACTGCACTCGAACTCACTGCAAGACTGGCAGTCTTTAAGAGCTTCTTCAAATACAGGAGAATGAGTTTCTCTAAGCTCTCACAGTTTTAATTTAAATCTCATAACAAGATTAACATAAATGTAAAGAATCCTGAACATGAACTGGCCACACCCTTTCTACATTTAAGTACGGATTTTTCATGGACTCCATTTCTATTATTATTATTATTTTCTGGAGAGCATTTTCTTAATTTCTAGCGGCATAGCCAGCATAGGAATTTAGGGTGTGTACAGAAGTTGTCTTTTGCCATTTAAAGTGCTTTACTGCCATGACTTAACAGAAGTGCATGGCTTTACAGAACTTTAAAAATGGGTACAGTGCTTTAAATTAACCGTAGTTAAATGAGGTATTAAATTTTACAGCACTTTAGTAATGTACAGTGTTTTAAATAACTACCGTACTCTGGCCAAATGTCTGGCAATTCCTCCAGTATCCCATGGACTTTGTGAGCTACTATCCGGCCTTGTGGCGGACATGTTGATCATTCCCAGATAAGAGGGGCACTGGGGAGTGAAAGGGACATGCCACAGGTGAAAGGATCAAACACCCCCCCACAAACACACACACACACACACACACACACACACACACACAC